TTGGGTGGCATTGAAAATTGGGTTGGGCAAATGTTTTGTTAGTGGGATGAATTGTAAAGGACCTGCCTAGTATGGGCCAGCAGGCCTCCTGCAGTGTTCCTCCTTTCTTATGTTTGTTCTTTTAGTGTGTGTGTGTGTGTGTTGTGTGTGTGTGTGTGTGTGTGAATGTGTGTGTGTGAATGTGTGTGTGAAGTGTGTCGTGTGTGAATGTGTTGTGTGGTGTGTGAATGTGAGTGTGTGTGAATGTGAGTGTGTGTGAATGTGAGTGTGTGTGAATGTGAGTGTGTGTGATGTGAGTGTGTGTGAATGTGAGTGTGTGTGGTGTGTGAGTGACTGTGTGTGACTGTGGAGTGTGTGTGTGTGAATGTGATGTGTGTGTGCGCGAGTGAGAGTGTGAATGGATGTGTGCGTGAATGCGAGTGTGCAGTGAATGCGAGTGTGCGTGAATGCGAGTGTGCGTGAATGCGAGTGTGCGTGAATGCGAGTGTGCGTGAATGCGAGTGTGCGTGAATGCGAGTGTGCGTGAATGCGAGTGTGCGTGAATGCGAGTGTGCGCGAATGCGTGTGCGCGAATGTGAAGAGTACTCCCCTATTTGAGGTTGCAGTGTGTGAATGCGTGTGTGTGAATGCGCGTGTGTGTGAATGCGCGTGTGTGTGAATGCGCGTGTGTGTGAAGCGCGTGTGTGTGAATGCGCGTGTGTGAATGCGCGTGTGTGTGAATGCGCGTGTGTGTGAATGCGCGTGTGTGTGAATGCGCGTGTGTGTGAATGCGCGTGTGTGTGAATGCGCGTGTGTGTGAATGCGCGTGTGTGTGAATGCGCGTGTGTGTGAATGCTCGTGTGTGTGAATGCGAGTGAGAGAGTGTGTGTGTGAGAGAGAGAGGGAGAGTGGGAGAGGGAGGGAGAGTGGGAGGGAGAGGGAGAGTAGTGCAGTAGTAAGGATGAATGGGAGGGTGTTGGCACCTGGAGAAGAAGTTGATATCCTTGGGGTGAAATTTGACTCCAAACTAACCATGAAGAACCATGTTGTAAATCTTGCAAACAAGGCAGCCAGGAAGCTTACAGCACTTCGCCGTATCTCGCATCTACTTGACAGTAGGGGTTGCAAGATTCTGTACGAGGCACAAGTACGCTCGCACCTTGAGTATGCTCCACTTTCTTGGTTTGCCTGCCCCACCTCTCATCTGCGACTGCTTGACAGAGTAGAGAACAGAGCAAGACGTCTCATCTCTCGCCTGGACCCATCCTGGATAGATCTGTCATTTCAGCAGAGCCTTCAACATAGGAGGGATGTGGGTGGCCTTACTGTTATGTACAAGGCCAATATTGTCAAAGTACCACACTTGGATCCACTTCGAGGACAGCGTGAAACAAGCTCTTATGCCCTAAGACTGGCAGAAAGCAGCAACTTCGCTCTGGCTGTACCCTTCTCCAGAATATCACTCCATCTGAGATCATATATGCCCAGGATGACTGAGTATGGAACACGTTCGTACAGCATAATGATGTCAACGAGATAGTCAGTTGATCAAATGAAAATGCTGGCCCACAGATGGCTCAATTTCATCCTGTTCCCTACTTGTATGTCTCATAACAATAAAAATGCTTTCAAATGAGCTGATGTAGGTAACAGCTCTTAGCTTGCCAATAAAGTTAGGAATCCTTAACCTGTAAATAGCTTGTCAATAAAGCTAGGGATCCTTAACCTTGTCAAACCCTGTGTATATAAAAAAAAGAGGGGAGATAGGAGGGGGGGGGAGATAGGAGGGGGGGGAGAGATAGGAGGGGAGGAGATGGAGATGGTGGTGGTGCGAGTTGGGATCAGCCCCTTTACAGTGTTTGTAGGCCTAGTAGGCTCTGCATCGGAGGAGAGGGAGGAGGTGAAGGAGATGGAAGAGGGGGAGCAGGAGGAGGGGGAGTGAGTGTGTGTGAGGAGGGGGAGGGAAGAATAGAGGTATCCATTAGGGTAGGGACTACAAGTGTTTGTGTGAGAGAATTTATGGCCCTCTTATGTTCACACGTGTGCTCGTGTATGTGTGCGCGCGCGCGTTACTGTCTTGTCACTCGAGCCTTCTTTCCTGGATTCTACCTTAATTTAACAGTAAAATAAATCACTGTCTGGCTTTTTGGACTCTCCCCAGTTTCTCTACACTAGATTTTCTACAACTATGCTGCTATATATGGCAATCTATGCTCAGTACAGGAAGGCCCCGCTTTACGGCGTTTCACTTTACGGCGTTCCGCTAATACGGTCATTTCAAATTATGACCAAAACTCGCTATACGGCTCCCCCCACCTGACTTTCTAATACGGTCACCGCGCCCCACCTTGTTTGTTTACATTCTTCGTGAGCTCAGTAAGCACTAAGTATCTCCATTTTGTCTGGAAACTCCAAAATTTCAAATGTTTTTAAAAGTTATTTCATATTTTATATATACTCTGATAATTATACTTATGTATACCTGTACTTAAATAAACTTACATACTGTGCTGGCATGCAGGTACACATTAAAATCAGTAAGTGTGTCTTATGTCTCCAGACGTCATATTAGTAATGATAATAATAATCATCGAGTCTCATTTAAATGTCGTATATTACGTTAAATACACATTTTCATTAATCCATCTATGATATTTTTTCAAAATTATAAATAAACACGATACATAACATAAAAAGATGTTAAATACACCCACAATAGAATAAATAAACATAAATATGAGATGTGGTAGCAGACGACTTGCACAAGTGACGCCATATTAGAAATGCTAATAATAATAATAATAATAATAATAATAATAATAATCACCGAGTCTTATTAAATGTTGTATATTACGTTAATATACACATTTTCATTAATCCATCCATGATATTTTTTTCAAAATTATATAATAAACATGATACATAACATAAAAAGATGATAAATACACCCTACAATAGAATAAATAAACATAAATATGAGATGTCGTAGCCAGATAACTTGTACAAGTGATGCCAAGAATAACATTTTCTCTAATCTAACATAAGAGAAAATGTGTTACTGGGGGTAACTGTAGAAAATTATTCCTTTTGTATGTATGTAAGTAAGTTTATTCAGGTATACACAAATACAGTTACATAGATTATCATACATAACAACATATGTGTAGAGAACCTAGGATAACCCAAAAAAGTCAGTGACTTATTTCCATTGCCTTCACTCAGAGCATCATTTCTTCTCAAAATGATGTTACATGAGAATGGGAGTGTTCTTCTTTATTTATTCTACCGTATCAGTGTAGAGACAACCTGTACACAATGTAACTTGTACACAAACCAGACGTGTACACTTCGTTTACAAAACTTACCTTCGCCTGGTTTGTTTACATAACTCTGCGCCTGTACTCTCTCATGCACTCATTCTTTCTCTCTCTCATTTATTCGTTTTATCTCATTTACTTACTCCTGACCCTACATTAAGACTACAAATATTTTAAGGTAAGTAATGAGTGAACTGTATATACATTTAATCGCTCTGGGATGCTTAAATATCATAGAATTGTATGTGTGGGTGGGGTGGCCTGGTATGGTAGCCTGGCTGACTACCATACATACCACACTTGATTTCTTACAATAAATGCTACTTGTCTCACCCTAGATTAAGACTATAAATATTTTAAGGTAAGTAATGAGTGCACTATGTGTGTATTGTACTTTTTATTGTTTTTTGATGCCTGGTTCTATTGCTAACTTAATATATGTTAGTGTAAACTTGTTATCTAGTGTTTGTATGCATTTGTAAGTGGAAAAAAAGGGTGTTCCACTTTTCGGCGGTTTCCGCTTTACGGCGGTAGCCTGGAACCTAACCAGCCGTATAAGTGGGGCCTTCCTGTATTTGTGTATGCCTGAATAAACTTGCTTACAATATGGGTGGTTTTTTTTTTGGCCTATGAGCCTGTGCGCTTCGCTGATGTGTGTGGCACCGCTAAAGTCACTTTCCAGCTACTCCCCCTTACTAAATGTTGAGTGTTCTATTATGATATTCAGCTCTCCAGAGCAGGGTTTAAGACCCTCAGCTATCAGTGTTGCAGGGCCAGACCTAAACTCCCTCATACAATCACAAAAAGGCTCAGTACTGTATGTCTGGCACCTGTGTTTTTTTTTTTGTGTGTGTGTGTTTTAGTTATAATTTTTTTTCTTCTGTTTACTTAGTAGTACTTTGGGCCTGCATATAAACTGTATGACTGTTAGATAGGTGTGGAGGCAAGTGGTTTTTATGACTTGACGAGCTGTTGGAGTGTGAGCAAGGTAACATTTATGAAGAGATTAAGGGAAATCAGTTAGCAAAACTTGAGTCGTGGAGGTAGGAAGTACAGTGCCTGCACTCTGAAGGAGGGGTGAGGATATTGCAGTTTTAGGACATCTAAGCTGTAATGTCATCAAGTCTCTGGCAAGATGGTGATGGAGTGAGTGATGGTGAAAAAGTTTCATCTATTTTGGGTTGCCCTACTTCAATGGGAGACAGCTGGTGTGTTAAAAAAAAAATTGACGAATTCACAACCCCCTCCCCTTCTTTTTACACTATCTTCCATTGAGACAGGGTGACCTGAAAAAGAAGAAACACTTTTACCATAATTCACATTCAGTCTTGCCAGACATACCAATATTACAGTTCAGATGACCCTTACCCCCAACTGCATGTATCCCATCTCCTCCTTCAGAGTGCAGGCACTGCACTTTCCACCTTTAGGACTCGAGTCCGGCTAATTGGTTTCCCTGAATCCCTTCAAAAATGTTACTGTGAAACCTTTTTACCTTGACATGCACAAGATTTTAGGAAACTTGCTCTCAACCTTCAATAATTAATTATTAGTCAGAACCCTTATTTCTCTTTGTTCTCTTTCTGCTCATGATTTTTCTTAAATACTTGAAGGAGGGTTTTATGGTGCATTTTTTATATACAAAAGTTTAATGTTATGTTTTCTAAATTTCACCCTTTATATACATTGTGGCAATTTTTCTACAGGCAGGGAAATGGCGAGTTTGAATCACTAGATATCACTCCTCTGTCATCACCACCAGAACTGCCAGAAGTGATGAAGCCCCAGGAACCCCAGGTTCATGAACTCAACTGAGTCTTATACCCCTGTTGAGGATTTTACCTTATTCCCTCTGTTATTAGTTTCCAAGTGTACTGAACAAGACCTGTTAGTTTGAGATGCAATTTAGTAAGGTTCCCTGAAACTACTCAATTTTTAAATTGGTTCCAGTGCATGCATTTTATTACTAAAGTTTGTATACCTCAGTGTCATTTTGCTGGGATGTGTATTCTAATATTTTGTTTTCAGAGTATTTAATTTAATGTTTACTTTGTTAAAGGAATAGGTTTTTAGTCCAAATATATGCAAATATTGAAATCCCATTTGGGTGACTAATGTTTCTAACATCATTGAAGGTACGGTATTATACACTGAACATATTTTTTTTTCACATGTATCCTCTAAGCTGTTTTCAGATTCTCATTAGTATGTCATATATACAACCCACAGCAGTCATTGTTGTATAGCAAACCCTTATTTGGGAGGATCAACAGGGGAAAATACTTTGGTGTAATTTTTTTTGGCTTTTATTACAGGTAGGTGGGGTTATTTTTGTCATTAGTTTATATTTGTTTATAATAGTATGTGGAAGATTTTATTTCACTTTTCCACTACTTGAACAAATGTTGCAGTTAACTTTTTTAGAATACATATGAAATAAGATTCCCAGAAGATGGATGTGAAACAAATACAGGTATGTAGATTTCCAAACATGTTGAAGAATATTTGGTTCAACTAGTAAAGTTTATTCAGTACACAAAATAACGTTCTAGGTAAGGGTTGTGTTTTGTCTGGAGCTTTTCATTGTAAACTATGTAAAGTAAAAGGACACAAGTACAACTAATGTGACATTTTATTGTGGCAACATTTCGCTCTCCAGGAGCTTTGTCAAGCCGTTACAAACAATACATGGACACAAAGGGTATATATGTAGGCTTAGAGGTGTAATACTAGTGGTGGTGGTAGTAGTAGTGATATAAGTTGCAGTAGTAGTAATACGATATGGTAGAACAATTAACTTGCACATGAGTAAAAGGATATAAAAGCTATTACTTGGTTAGCATAAAAATAAGTTAGACAAATATGTATTTCTATTGGAGGTTGGATTAGAGGCAGTCTGTTTCAGTGTTCATCCTCTGTAATGTGCTTGTGTAGTATTAGCAGGAGAGACTACGTGATGGCAGGGTTTACTGTTTTCAGGAGGACTCTTGCTAAGACTTCAGAGACGATGAAGCTGCCTTTATTTTGTTTAATTGTATTAGAAACAGCGATTAGTGTTGATTCAAGGCAGTGCGTCTGCGGAAATTAGTTTCTTTAATCATTAACCCTTTCAGGGTCCGTCCCGTAGATCTACGGCTTTACGGTGAGTGTCCAAACCGTAGATCTACGCCATGAGCTCAGCTCACTCTGATAAACTGTGAGTGGTACATTTGGGCCTAGATATGAGAGAATACATCTATGTGGTATGTGTGCACCACATAAAACAGATCCTGCAGAACACTGTGTATAATGAGAGAAAAAAACTGAAATCATGATTTTTCGATTAAAACAGCAACTTTGCAGTGTTTTTTCGTATGTTTTTTATAGTTGTATTTGCGATTTCTTGGTCTCATTTGATAGAATGGAAGACATATTACAGAAATAGAGATGATTTTGATTGGTTTTAGCACTGGAAATGGCTTGAAACTGAGCTCAAAGTAGCGGAAATGTTAAATTTTTGCCGATATTCAAGAGTAAACAAACGACCTCACACATCTAATACACATCAGCTGGTGGGTCTAATATACATTCACAAATATGGTGATGATATTTATACAATTATTACAGTATTGCATAACACTAAATCTTCTATTTTTTGGTGTGAATAAAAATTCATTATGTGAATAAAAAATCAAAATGGAATTTATTTGTAAAGCCTCAAAACATAACTAATGAACAGAGGAAATGTTAGTTTAGTGCCAGGAATGCCTACATTGTTTATTCTGGACCCTATTTTGAAATTGGAATATTTTGAACTTTGTGTTAAATTGGCCAAATTAACAATTTCCGATCACTTTATTTTGTAGTTGAAACAGTTGACTTGGCGATTTCTTGTGCTCAATCGATAGAATAGAAGTAATACTAGTGAAATAGCTAAGAATTTGGTTGATTGGAATAATGTAATTGGCCTAAAATGGGAGTCAAAGTCGGCAAAATCGCCGATTCGTAAATATCGCTGACACATCAAAATTCGCGAGAGCATAATTTCGTCAATTTTCCACCAAATTTCGTACTTTTTGTTTTATTACCTTCACAAAAAGATTCTCTACGATTTCATAAGAAAAAATACAAATTTTTTTTTTTGAAAATTCTTGGACACTGGTGCGTGACTCCAGATTTGGGCCTTGGACCCTGAAAGGGTTAATCAGGAGTCCTTGAATTTCATGAGATGATTGGTGAAATTCAGGGACGCCCGATTAGTGATCAAAGAAACTAATTTCCGCAGATGCAAGTGCTTTGAATCAACACTAATTGCTGTTTGTAATACAATTAAACAAAACAAAACAAAACAAAAAAAAAAAAAAAAAAAAAAAGCAGCTTCACCATCTCTGAAGTCTTAGCAAGAGTCCTCCTGAAAACAGTAAACCCTACCATCACATAGTCTCTCCTGCTAATACTACACAAGCACATTACAGAGGATGAACACTGAAACAGGCTGCCTCTAATCCAACCTCCAATAGAAATACATATTTGTCTAACTTATTTTTATGCTAACCAAGTAATAGCTTTTATATCCTTTTACTCATGTGCAAGTTAATAATAATAATTACTACTACTACTACTACTACTACTACTATACTACTACTATACTACTACTACTACTATTATTACTACTACTACTATTACTACTACTACTACTATTACTACTACTATTACTATATTACTATTACTACTACTATTACTACTACTACTATTACTATACTACTATTACTATACTACTATTACTATACTACTATTACTATACTACTATTACTATACTACTACTATACTACTACACTACTACTACTAATATACTACTACTGTACTACTATTCTACTACTAATATACTACTACTATACTACTAATATACTATTACTACTAATATACTACTACTACTAATATACTACTACTACTACTACTACTATACTACTAATATACTACTACTATACTACTACTACTAACTAACTACTACTTACTACACTACTACTACTACTATATACTACTATCTACTATCTACTACACTACTACTAATACACTACTACTACTATACTACTACTACTATACTACTACTACTATACTACTATTCTACTACTACTATTCTACTACTATACTACTATTCTACTACTATACTATTCTACTACTAAACTATGCTACTACTACCATTATACTACTATACTATTATAGTACTATTATACTAATACTATTATACTATTACTATTATACTACTAATACTATTATACTACTATTCTACTACTATTCTATTATACTACTACTACTATTATACTACTACAACAATGCCACCACCACCACCTCACATTAAGCCTATATATACCCTCTGTGTCCATGTATTGTTTGTAACGGCTTGACAAAACTCCTGGAGAGCGAAACGTTGCCACAGTAAAATGTCACATTAGTTTCACTTGTGTCCTTTTACTTTACATATTGCCGGTAATACTACCAACATATGTACATTGTAAACAAATCTGTATAACTACATATAATTTAAAAGTCAGCTACAGTACATGTTTGTCATTTGGAGGATTATTTTGGCACTGCTGCATAACTTGTATACATTAAGAAATATAAAATATATTTGACATACTGTTGGTTTTTGAGACCCAGTAAGTTTGACACTGTAAATTTACCACAGTATGTAGTACACTTGAAATATTTATACACTATCATAAAAAAAACTTTTAATGTATAGTAACTATTGCATTATGAAGGGACACTTGAGTCTTTGGAAGCAGTGTTGTAAAACTGATAATCCATTGTTTATAAGATATAAAAACCAGTATAGGTACAGTGAAAGTTTCGTCTTTAGAAACTATAGGTTAATGAACAGCTATTTGTCTCACTTAGACACGCATACTAAACTGTGAATGCAAGCAATGATACCTTAAATTATTTGAATGAATGTTCTTTATTAGGTGCCTCACTGTTGATTATCCCAATTATAAAGCTTTAACTTGTCATGAGGGAGATTTTTTAATAGTTTGGGAGTTTATTAATAGTATTTATACTCGATCCAAATCTTAATTTTTCTTTTGTTATTGTATTATACTTTTAGTGTTAAAGAACAGAATGGTAAAGTATTTTCATATAAAATGTTGAAAAAAAGTTTTGAGTGTGATATGTTGAAGAATGCAAAATGCAACATTAATAAAGCATGCATGTGTTATGGGAGATGTAATCATAATATAATTATTCTAGTAGAAGCTAAAGTTGTCATTATAGGCTGCATTTCTACAGCAGATAGCTCCAAGTTAGCAATCCTTGGTTATCCTTACAAAAATTATCTTGGAAGTCAATTATGAAAGCTTTATACAGCAAGATATTTTGACAGATTATGCTGTATGTTTTATTTCTTAATTCTAAGATAAGTTGGAATTGATAGGCTAGACGAGTCTGAATTCGGTTTAAACTTTGAAATTGGACATGAAATTAGCTTCTGCTTTTAGAACTTGGATATTTACCAGATTACAGATTCTTTAATGACATACATATTATTTGTAATTTTTTGATTGCAACAAATTTTGCCCTACTTAGGAAACTCAATATTGTACAGGGTGATGTGTCTTCATATATGTATACATATACTGTATTACTAACTAAATATTTTGTTTCATGGCCATGTGCATGTCATTTAAAAGATTTTAGTCTTGCAGTAAGACTGAACATTTCAGCTTCCATTGTAAACCGTTCACTATATATATTTATCACATTGTACAATTAGCATTATTTAATGAGCCATACTTACTCTTGAATCTTGCATGAAGCTTTTTTGAATGAAATGCATTGAAGAAGCAATGCTTCTGTACTTTGATATCAAGTCACATCAATTTGTCATCAATATCTTTGCAAAACTTCAGTAGGTCACATGCACGTACAGCTCAGCCATTGCATCAATGACTGAAGTTTTTCTTCTCAATTTACCGAAAATGATGACTGAAAATTGAAGTATTTTATTTATTTTTTGCTGTTATTTGTCATGAAAAGCTAAGTGCACCTTAGAAAAACCACGTAACTAGAAAATGTAACATATAATTTATAATAAAAAATTTAAATGCATAATTAAAGTGAATTTTCTTGAACTAATATAAGTACGTACTCTTGTGAGGAATTCCCAGGTTTAATAGGTCCTTCACAATAAGCCATTGTCCTGTGTTTAAATGTATATCTGTATTAACTTTGATTGTTTATTGTAAAGATAGCATTATGAATAGTAGTTTGGTATGTTAATTATGATGGTAAACTATGTGATGCTGCTTGATTTTTCACCTGAGTTTATTATCAGTGTATGGAAAATGAATAGGCAATACTGGCCACACTAAAAGGAACTCATTGTAATTTGCCATAATTGAAAGCTGATTATATGGCAGCCTGTAAGGAATTTCTATTACACCTGGCAGGGCTGTATAATAATATCGATGATGTTGGTGAAGTAACCTTTTTTTCTTTTTTATATCAAGTATATTACATTTTGGAATAAATTTCAGTGGATTGAGAAAATATTTTTTTCTATCAAGTTTATATAATTCTTGTTATATAATGAATATGCAGGCAGCTATTTCAGTTTTAAATTTTAACACTGCATTGAATGATTACATTGGTTTAGTGCTTTTCTTAAATACTGTATTATTTAAGTAACTACTGTGCTATTAAAACAAAACAAAGTGTACAGTGCTCCAAAAATTCTACTGGATTTTCAAGAAATGTGTTTGAAATTATACTATTAGAAAAGCCTTCCTACTTTGATTTTGGTTAACTCTAAAGCATTTTAGTCATTGTTACATAAGCACATATGTACTGTACAGTGCATAATTGTTTATATTATAATAAGTAATGTTTACAGATATTCTGGTTTAGTTAAATGCTTGTTTTTTGTTACATTGAAAGTTATTCTTGTATTAAGAGCACAGAGAGAAGCCCGAAGAAAATCAAATGCTGAAAGAATTTTATTGGCAATATTTAGGAATATTATGTCAGTTTCACACACTTGTATGATCATCTAAAATCTGCTTGCAGTATGATCAAATTAGTGTTTCAGTTAGCATAATTTTCTTAAATTCCTTAAAAATATATGTATACCAGTTTAGCTCTTCTGCATTCCAGGCTACACTAGAAGGAAGTGAATTATAAAACACTAAAATAAAAAAAAGTAACCAGCTTATCAGTTAGAGCAATGAAAACTTCTCTCAAGCTCCAAAACATGGTTAACTATATCATGGATAGGAACTGCTGCCAAACCAGCTAAGCTGTATCATGATTAACTTTGTGTAATACCATATGGCATGAGTAAGAATCTGTAGTCTGAATGTTATCTGTGAAAGATAAAGTTGATCAGTTT